TAAACATTGAAGAGATGGTAGAAAGAATTTGTCTGATCTCTGAAACTGAAGATCTTTAAAATTTGAGTAATGCAGCCATGTGTGTAGTTTCCAGAGAAATAATAGGTATCTTGGGCTTTCAAACACAAGCAAAATTGTTCTCTCTTCATGAATACCACCTATATTCTCATAAAAGCACACTGGCTTCCACTTAGGTAAAGTAAAATTCAGACAAAAGTCATTCTAGGTTTTTAGAGTTCAAGATAGAGTTAACTTTGGAGGAGGGGTCTGCATCATGACTGAAAAGAGCATGGGAGAGTGTTATCTTTGTGGTTGCTAATAGTATCCTGTTTCTTGGTTATTCTTGTGTGTTGATTATGGACATTGCTGTGTTGATCATTCATAGTATGTTGTTGTTTGTTTGTTATATTACTGAATTTTAGTCGAAAGTAGAAATCCAAACCAGAAACAAACAGGAAACAAATCAACCATAAGACAAGAGGGGCAGGAGATCATGGTAGCAGGCAGAGACGCAGAGCTATGTATGTATCTCACAGCCACTATATTAGGCTCATTAGACTTGTTTCAGGTGTTTTAGAGGCCAGATCTTATTACATTTTTCTAGTAGCAATTGTTTGTCTTGGATATATTTGTCTGATGCAACCTACCTATTGGTGTGACTATTTTGATACCTGTCCACTTCTTGGGATAAACATGTCTTATCAACTGAAGGTCTAAAGAAGATTCTGCCCCTAGTTCTTCAATCCTGTTTGCAGATCACAATGTATAGTAGTCTTCTCAAATTAATAACATCTGTCCCCTTCCATCAGTACCTGTCATTAGATTATATGCCATTATATAGGAAGTCCCAAGAAGGTAGAGTGTGTCTGGTGATTGGATGATGATACAGGATTATCATTCAAAATCATGGGTGAACTTAGCTCAACCAGCAGCTACGTTTCTGTGTTCTCTTGTTCTTGTGGCCTGGAACCTGGTGGTGTCAAGCTTGGAATTTGTGCCCTACAGAATCTGAGCAGCATTGCAAAGTAGATAAGTGTTCCCTTGTTTGTATCATTGCCTCCTTTCATCTTCTTAGATATTAACCTTGTCTTATAATCTTGTGAGTTATTCTCACAAGAACATCTTTAAAGAGAAACTTCAGAACTAAACAGCTAAAATTATGCATAACATTTGATTGACTTTATAATTTTTAGAGCATTTACATGGGATATATGTATTGCCTGTTTTATCCTTATAATCATCCTGAGAAATAATAGGTATGCATTTTGAAACAACAAAAAAATGACAATCAGAAAGAAAAAATGTTTTGTAGATAGTATATCTAAACTCAAAATCCATGCTCTTTCCACTGCTTACCTGGTACTTTTTCCAAAATTTTGTTATCTATCTCTAAGAATAAATTATAATGGTGAAATGTCAGGTAATAGAAAAGTTATTTTGGGTGAACAATTCATTCCTTTAAACCATATGAGTAGATTCAGCACTATTAGGAGAAAAATCGTTGGCTTTTGTAACTAGCAGATCCTATGCTTGGATCTTGTCTGTACTGTGAGAATGTGCTCAAGTCCTTTAACCTTGAAAAGTTAAGTCCATCTTAGAATGGCATATTCTACTCTCCTTGGTGTCAGCAGAATTAAATGTCCCAGATCACTTGGGTAAAAGATAACAGACACTCTGTTGAGGAGCTGAAATAGGGATTAAGCAGCAGCAAGGGTTAAACATATCTCCCGCAAAACTCTGATCTTATTTCATGCCAAAATGTCATAAACTGGTACTTATTAGAATATGATACCTTGCAAACAAGAATAATGTCTCTCTTTTGGTATCATCAAATTATTTATGGATGGTCCATATGCTAGGAACTGTTAACTTATTGAGTCAATGAAAAGTTAAGCCTATCTACTTGGTAGACCGTACTTTGCTTCCAGAATAAATCAGACAGGCTCAAATACAGAGATGATTAAAACAGCAAGTTATTTCTGGAAGAGAAAATGGGAATTGTATGGAGTTTTGTCACTAAGGTGATTAGAATGAGTGTCCAATGTCCCTTTTCTACAGAAATTACAAATCCCAGGCCAAGTGAGGCAAACTATTTTAAAAAATATCCGCTGATTAAAAACAACCAAGCAAACAGACATACAAACAAGTGCCTTCCCCATTGGCATTTCCCAAAATCATTTCAGAAGAAATGTTTGAAGGCAGGGATTGAGAACTTGGATCTGTTTTTGAAGCACTCTCTAGCCCTTCCTAAGCGTAGGTCCATGGGTAGGATGCCCAGCTCTCCAAGCCTCATCTGGGAAATGGGGACAATTTTCCAACCCCTACCTCAGAGCACTCTTGTGAAAGTTGTATGAACCCAAGTATGTGAGGGCACTTGGTGCAGCTCCTGGCACAGAGTGAGTGCCCAGTTAATGGGGATGCTTTCTCTTACAGCCTTATCTCACATTACTGGCTCTGTGTAGGAATAGAGAATCTGGGATTTGGATTTAGAATCCACTGGAGGCTGATACAGCAGCGCCACCTGGTGACCGTTTTACCACAATAATAACCTAACAACGTCTTAAAGATCATGGAGGACAAAGCTGTCTTCCTTTGTTTCTAAAGATTTAAATAAAAATACAGTCTTTTGATATATTAGAGAGATTTTTATCATTCTTGTAAATGTCACTCCGTAAAAAATCCAGAAATGATGAAATCATCAGAGATGAAGTTTGAGCTATACTGATTTTCACCTTACTGCCTTTGGAAAGCAGCTAAATGTTATCAGCATTACTTAAAAAAGGTATAATGGAACATAAACTTGTTGGAAACATTGAGAATTGACAATGCACTCAGTTCTTCTTGGAGAAAATAAATTATTAAACAGTAAAAAATACATAGATATGAGGTCAGAAAATCGTGATTATTTTATATACGAGGGTCATCATCGTAAACGTGGTTTGTTTCCTCATTCCATAGTCTTCCTTCTCCCGTGTTCATACCTTGTAACCAAGGATTCTTCATCGGAAACCTATAGGTACATTTTAGGAGTTTCCAAAATGTCTGTAATATGAAGCAAAATTTTTGTATATACTGGGAGGTGGTGCAGTACTATTATTTTTTAATCCTAAACAAATAAAGAATTTCTGCTGTAAAAAAGTTTTGATAGAACGTGGGTGTGGTGCTCTGCGTGTTTGTCTCCTGAAAATTCATATGTTGAAATACCGCTAAGGTGGTGGTATTAAGAAGTGGGGCCTTTTTGACACGATCAGGTTATGAGGGCTGTGCCCTCGTAAATGAATTAGTGCCCTTATGAAAAAGGCCTGTGAGAACTCTTTGTCACTTCAGCCTTGTGAAGATACATAGAAAGTGCAATCTATGAGGAATAGGCTCTCAAGACACCAAAACTGCTGGTGCCTTGATCGTGGACTATCCAGCTTCCAAAACTCTGAGTAATAAATTTTGTTGTTTATAAATTAACCAATCCAAGGCATTTTGTTTTAACAACACAAATAGAAATAAGGCAGTGAGTAAAACTAAGTTCAGGATCTTTGTTCCATGCTTATTTTCTTAAACTCGCCAATAAATCCATTCTTCTAGTTTTTGCCCCTAGTTTTCTCTTCTGCCACTGCAATGTGAACTGATATTCAGAGAGGGAAAAGGTGTATACGCAACGTATTCTTAGAGCCTGGGCTCTGGGTGGAGAGCTTTCTCCACACCCTGTCCTGGGTGCATATAATTCTAAAACAAAGAGATGCCGTGGAGGAAATCACCTTGATGAGAGTAGCTTCCAAATACACTATTCTGTACACTAAGAAGTCACAGAACAGAAAGGCTCACAGACTAATAAAGATGCTAGAAGCACAGGGCTTATTAAATCAATTTAAAATCCACAGAAAACAAGGTGAAAGTCATGGGGTAGGTTGACTCATTGAGGGTAAAGTGCAAGAGGTATGCAAGGATCCTGCAAGCTGAACGTTCTGCAATGTGGGTATATATACTCCTTTTCCCTCGGCCACATCGTCCTTCTCCAGTAATGATGTGTTATAAGCACCAGAGTTGAGGTTTGAGCAAGGGGGCAACCGAGAGCGGGAGCCCATGCAGCATGGTTACTCCCTCCAAGACAAGCGGGGGCAAGCCACTGAAATTCACCAGTTAGGTTGATTGATGAGCTGCTGTGGGTGCCAGCATGGAAGTCAACAGAGTGAGCAAATTAAGACAGAATGAGTAGTGAATGCTTTTCTCATCCCTATCTAGTGCATCACCTAGTGTTTTCCCCGTCTTTCTTTCCCTTTCTATTTTTGTTTACACTCACATGCTCTACTTAGTTTTTCCGTCTTAAGGGTCACTTTGTTTTTTTTAACACATCGTAGGAACTCCGTGTCTCCCATTTGTTTTCCTGTCTTCTACAGTAGAACATTTTTGAATAACACAGCAAATGACTATTACAGAACAGGATATTATTGGCTTTTAAATATGAGCTCTAAGCTAGCTTGAATGACCCTGGCCCAGAAAAACAGGGTTTCTGCTTATTTGCTTAGCACAGTCTTCAGTAGCTTGAGGAATGGACACTTCTGATTTTTGTTGACCTGGAGTTTAATCCTTGCAGGGATACAGACCATAGGTGTCCAAACAAATGTCTTTATTGTTATATATAACTCTGAGCCTCCTGGCCTTCATCCAAGGTTCATCAAGTAGTTGGTAGATGTTAGGCATGTTTGGAGATAGAAGAAGTTCTGTGGTCTCCAAATCCCTAAGCATGAGAACACGGAAGATTGTGGGAGTCTCTGGCAAGACCTAAATGGTCTTCTCTTTCTAACATCCCCCAAAGAGTGGCTTTCTCAGGTCCCCTTGGCATGTATAGAATGTTAGCTCTTTTCTCATTTTTTCTTAGCCGAGATGATTCCTTTAAAAATTCTAGCATTGTTCCAGATTAAATGTGGACACCACTCCTTCCTATCAGCCCTCCTCCCCCAACCAGTTTCTGGATGAGTGCAGAAAAACACAACAGCCCTACTGGATTGATTTTATTTTCATTTTTTATTGAAAGCTTCATCAAAGAAAACAGAAGTTTAAACCTAACATCCACTGATCTACAGAGAGCCCAAGGGATGGGGGAGATGGTTGTTCATTTGACTGTGGTACAGATGAAGAAATTAAAAATAAAACCAGAAACACCTTTGAATTACAGAACTTTCCATGACAGAGACAGCAGTCCAAAAACCTCTTAAATAAAGTTCAAAATTGAATGATGTTTCAGAAGTTCCATGAAGCTGAATATGGACTGAAACAAGGGTTTTAAAAGAAGCTGTGTCCCATTTTTTTTTTTTTTAAGAAACTGAGTATCTCATAGCATATACTACTACATATATATATTTTAAATTAAGATTCCAATTTTATTCTTCTTTTTAAATAAATGGAAGCATTTGTGTCCAGAATAGAGAAAACTTTTTCAAGTGTCTCTTTGAAACAATTTTTACAGTTCTTGAAAAGCATGGAATAACTCATTTTTTTTAACATATGAAGAGATTACATATTTGGGGGGGGAGAAAAGCACATCTTTCTCAGTAACCTTAGACCAGAGAGTTTGAAACAACGTATAACGTTAAAGTTATACTTTGGACATTATTTAAATTTGATGTGATCATAAAAATATCCACCGGAGTGTCAAAGTCATTCAGCCTTAATATAGTAATGCAAAGTCAAAATATAACAAAAGCAATGCATTAGTTTTGGTCAAAGATTTAAAAGTAGGAATAGGACTGAACCATGAGCTACTGTTATACTCTCATTGCAGAAGTTGTGTTGATCCGTGCTACTGGTTCAAATTTAGTGGAGTGAAGAGAACGAAAATAGCTTTCTTCTGAGGGAAGCCAAATTCTCCATACTATTTTTCTGTATATTCTGCAAGAATACAGCTAACTCTCAATTGTTTGTGGCAGACAGGAAAACATATTACTGATAATCAAAATTTATGGCATATAATGTATGGACATTAATTTTACCAATGATTTCAAACTCCCTTAAGAAATTAATACTTGATAAGAAATAATCAAACTGTATTTCCCATTGTTTCTTTTCCCACCCTCAGGGTGACATGCTAATAAAAAGAAAAATAAAAAACTGAGCCCAAGGCCTACAAGCTAAAAAGAAAAGACAAAACACATCCACAAAGCAGATAATTAGCCCTTCAAAAATTTAAGAGTGATTGTATTTATGCACAACTCAGAAACTGGGGCAGTAGTAAGACAAGCTCAAGTGTGACTCAGTGGCCTAGTGGTTCTTCCTGCAGATCCAAGCTTACTACACCTCTACTTCAGCCCTAAAGCTTTCAGAGTGGAAGAAATTTTTCTTATTATTTTCCCTCACAAAAATAAACAGAAATGCATACTGAAAGCCATTCATCCCTTTTGTTTTGCTACAGAGAGCATCTATATGTTATAGTATAAAGCCAAAGATAAAAGAAATTAATCTGGGGTGAACTCCTGTCTCCCACATCATAAAAGGTCTTTGGGGCCACTTCGGGATTTCGTGTTTAGTTCTTTATACTTTCCTGAACTCTATGTAATCCGCAAAGGACAGCCATGGCCAAGAGCATTTGGATGAAAGGACCAATTTCATACTTAGGAATGTTTGCAAAGAAATGTTAAACTTGAGTCAGACCCAGCTGTCTTCCAATGCCACAGTGGATGTCATTTGTAAAACAAATTGATTCATTAATGAAATCCCATGATCACGTGCCACAGAAAGGGTACAGTGTACAGAATCAATGAGCCTGTTTAAATTCTGTCAGTCCCTCAGATTGAAGGGAGAGGCTGTCAGTCCCAGTGAGCTCAAAATTTTGAAGCATGCCAGCTGCAATCACGTGGAAGACACTATCTCATCCTTTATTTTTTACTGAAGAGAAAGTAATATAGATCAAGGTGCTATGACATGTTTAAATTTTATTATAGCGGGTGAATCCTCAAATGTGCTGAATGTTGTTATACACGTACATAAATATTGTCCCTTGATTTCAAATCATAAAGAAAACATTTATTACTGAAACCCACTTGAGAATCTCTCTCTGCTTATCAGCTCATCTGCAGTGGTTCATGCACTGAAATTAAGAATGAAAATGAATTGCCAAATGTATTTTAATCTCCTATTAACATCATAATCTGTCTAGACAGCCTATTGAAACTTCTCCTCAATCGTGAAGATGATTGCAAGAGTCCTAATTACATCAAATTTCACTTTTCATTAATAGGGGTTTTTAGGCCACTATAAAAAAAATAGGCATTTAGCAAATATCACAATTATTTAAATAAAGAGGGTTTTTTTTGGGGGGGGACACTAATTGCTTTTTTGGGGCATACATAAACTGAAAGTAGTTTTGAAGCACTTCGCAAGGGGTCCAAAGATATATTCTTAGGTATAGTAAAATAAAGTGGACTTCCTGCTTTACACAGCGTTCTTCAATTCTCAGTCTTTTATCTCTAATGGGAGTGCTTTTAACACCATGTAGTTTTTCATTGGAAGGGGATGGAAGTGAGTCATATGCTTTCAAATGTGACAGATCTGCTAAGGTCACAGGAAGAAGTAACTCAAGTGAAATATGGAGGTAACATTCTGAAATACTGAAATCTACCAAGGAAGCAAACTAATCCTGGCAAAACTAGGGTCAGGTAGAGGATTTTTTTTAAAAAAGTATTATGACAGTCGCAATAGTCAAGATATGTCAGCATTCAAGGACAATGGTCATCAGCACCTGCCAGTATTATCCTCAGTTCACTTGGGTTCATTACGTTGTCTTCAGAGGACATGGCCACATATTGGGGAGTTCCCAGTTACCATGCACACTTGGACTCCCTTGGCGACACTTTTATCATTATTAAAAGAAAACTTACTCTTTCACTGACCATGAAACTAGAGTTTAGATGAGACTGTGTTTCTCTCATTTGGATTGTGGCTTTAGTTTGTTTCCCGATGTTTAGGCTAAGTCTTGGCAATTCAAGTCAAAAGGAAAAATGGAAACATCTGAATAAATGCTTGAAAATCTGGTGGACCAGAATCCATAGAAAATTAACTTCAACTTCAAAAAAAATTATAGTTTTAATTAGGTTTAAAATCACTACAGCATATTTTGTTGATTAAATTTGAATTCTGCTGTCCGTATATATTGAACACTTACTTTGGTTTATTATCACACAATGTAATGCTGCTTACCTGCTGATGCTTTTTTCTCTCCCAAACTTGGCTTTTCAAAACAAGTCTTAGGTAAGACAACAGACACTTTTTTTTTTTTCTTTTTTTGGTTTGAAAACATATATGTTATAGAATGGCATGATATAAACTATCCAAACACAAAACACACATGGACACATAAAATGGCAGGTAATTTCCTTTTGCAGAAAGTGGCTTAAAAATTGAGATTATTGAAGTTTCAGAGTTGAAATAAAATATTTTTGAATGTACAAATAAAGCAGCAGTTTTGAATAGAAACAGGAAGTTACCTAGGCACGTTCATCAGCCACATGGTAGCTACCTCTTAGCCTCATTGTTGATTGTGTAAATGAGACTTTCTTTGTATCACATTAATACATGTTTTTGACTTTTTTCACAGAAATGAAAGAAAGTATGTTGGTTTCATATTCAAATGAATTATGTCCAGGACAATCCTTGTTTATACAAAGAGTTTAGAGAGTGAAAAAGAAAAACAGAAAATATGGTTCCCATACACGTTTTTTGTACCCCCCAAAATCTTTGGGGCCCATTTTTTTAAAGATAAAAACTTAAGTGCCACCTTTACAACGCATGGGAAGTTGAAGGATGGAACAAAAGACAATATAAATCTAGCATTTTCTCCAAAGCATGAAAAACCATAATAGTGAGTGTGACCAGTTGGAATTTCTCTGTAACACACACATTTTCTTGGATACACGTTTGTCTCCAATGTGACCATAAATATATGGAGTCATTCTCTGATTTGAGCTTCTAATTCATGGGGTTGAAAGTAAGAGAACCAGAGTCTACATAAATAGTGGAATATTGACAGTTTCATATTGAGTCAGCCTTATTACTCATGTTGACCTAATGGGAATATGATTTACCTTTAAAACTTTTTAGTTTTTAAAAGCCTACCCTGTTTTATAGTATACTTAAATACATTTTCCTCTTTTTTGTGGGCTAAGACAGGCTCCTGTTACTGACTGAGTTTGTGAAAAGAGTTTTACCTATTTGATTCAAAGGATTCATTCAGAAAGCAATCTAGTGAATAGTTCACTTAACAAAATTCTATTGCATTGTCCTTAATTTGAGATAAAACTACAGGTTGAACACATATTATTTCATGAATCAAAAATGTAGATATATTTTATAGGTAAGTCAATTTAATTCATTTTAGACAAAGTTTTGCATCATTCTAAATGCAAGTATTCCTCCTTTGGCTTAAATGATTGATCAAACCTAATTCTTTTGGTTCTGATTGATCTAAATCATACAGTTTCTTGATTGTCAACTAGCATTTTAATAACTTCCCTAAATTCCACTAATAGAATTCTCAATCTTATTGAGAAGTCTTACATGCCTCAAAGAATTAATCTGAAAGAAAAAGTTTTTTTTGACAACACCAAGATATGAAAATACAATGGAAAGAGACAAAAAGAAGATATCCCCTCCCAATTTGCAAAACCAAGGTGACTATTCTTGGTAGGTGATGACAAAGACAGAGGTGAGAAGACAAAACCCAGAAGTGTCATAATTTAGAGGGAAGACTATTGTCACAAATACAGTAAGACCTTTCCAGGAGACCACTCAACATTTCACAGAAAATCACTAAGCTTTTTTGACAAGTGACCTTTCAGACTGGGTTCAGAAAGTGTTGTTAGCTGAAAATTCATATAAAGAACATTCAGCCTGTTAAATAAGCATCTTAGTTTACTAGCGGCCATCAGTAAAGGTTTCACTATTCCAGACGGCCAGTGAGAAACCAGGAAAGCTCACAGAATTTAAAGTCTTTTGACTCTATCAGCTGATATCCAGAAATCTTCGTGCTGAAACTGTTAAACACACAGGTGCAAGCTTCTGCTATCAATGAATATATATTTAAACAAAAGAAAGACAATTCCCCCCACCCTCTTTTTTTGCAGTATGTAAAACACCAGTGGAAGGTAGTTTAAACAAACAACAAAGTAAGAACTGGTCCGGCCATGTCGGTCAAATAAATTTTTTTTTTTTTTTTTAAAAAAAAAAAAAGAAAAGAAAAACAACCTCTATCTTCTGGACTGTAATAGGGTGTCACTTCATCTTTGGTATAAAATAGGCCATCCATAGGCTGAATTTGATCACAACTAGGAAACACTACAGAAATTGTCAACAATTTCTCTATCTATTGCTTTTTTTTGTTTTTTTGCACTTTTTGACCATAAGCTCCTATCTACTTAAGTTTTTTTTAATGCTCTTAAGCTAGGTTTTGCAATGTGACAAGCAAAGCTGACTAAAAAGTTTGTAAAGCTCATAAAAAAGACTGCAGATAAAAAGCACTAATGCTTTTGCTAGCGATCACGCTTTGTAAATTAAAAAAATCTGCATTCTGCCCCCAAACACGCATTATTTCTAATGCAGTTGTTTTTAAACCAACATTAATAACTTTACTGTAAAATGTTTTAGCCTTTTAGAATGAGTCATGTCAACACTTAAGACAAAGTTCATGAAAAGTCCCAGCATTTTTCCAATTCTTGCAGTTGCCATGGTTTCTTTATCAACAAATTTTCTTCAAATGAAGAAAAACATTTTCATTTAAACTATACAGTTTTTTTTTTCACCCTAAAAACTCAGTCTTAAACTTCTGTACCAGTTAAAGCCGGCACAATATTTCAATTCTTTCTTGATTTTTGTTTTTAACAAGACGTTGACAGCTTGCCTCGAGAGCCTTTGACGTCCTTAAAATTAAGGCAATTAAGATTCAAGATAAACCTTACCTAAATATTTCTAAGAAAAAATAAAATAAAAAAAACCCACTAGATTTAAACAAGAAGGGAAAAAGAGAAAGTAGCTTAATTATTGAGGAAGACAATTTGTTTCCATTTCTATTGCCCACCTCTTGACATCAGGTTTTCTGTTTTTTTAAAAAAAATGTATCTACACCTTCAGGAAAATTTTGAATTCAATTCAAATGTCCTTCCAGATAAAATATCAACCTTCGATTTTTTTTTTTTTTTTTTTTTTTTTTTTTTTTTTTTTTTTTCCTCTTCTGGAAAATTTTTCTTTAATTAAAAAAAAGATGGCAAAAAAAATTGTCAGACCACATGAAGACCATTTGCACAGCACATAAAAACTTTGTTTTCATTGGGTAAAGTATAAAACTAAAAAGAAAAAAAAATGCATTCCATTGACGTCTGTGCAAACTGGAAGCCAACTTCTTGTTCAATGAAGTTTCTTCATTCAAGGCAAAGATTCAGACGGACATTCTTCAGTCCTGTTTATGGTCTGTGAAAACAATTGAATAAGAGTAGTCATTAAATTAAAGTAACTTTGAAATCACCTTCTGTACCCTTTTCCAATGAGTTATCTTTAAAAGATACCAAGCTTTCAATATAACATAGTCACGAACGCAATTATAAAATCATACTGAATCTATGAGATTGTCAAATTGTGTCATAGAGTTTGTTTTCATTAAAAATCAAGGTTAATATCTTATGTTGTAGCTCCTTACAGATCCTTTGAGTAATTCTGTTCCTTCGAAACTAGGAATCATCACTAATTCCAGCAACATACATGAGATTCTTTACTATGTACCCAAAATAGCTGGGTTGTATGTTATCTCATGGTATTCATTACGTACATTTACGTAGGGCTTATTGCCTGAGGAAATAAGTGAGACAGTTAAGAAGCCAATGCAGTTTTATTCTCTTTTCCTCTTCCCCTCCTCCTCTTGTTGATTTGCCCTGTCAGGATTACAAGTTTGTGAGAGCAAGAGCTAGACTTCTACTTTTACGCTTTAGGCAGAGTGGTATATACACAATAGGTGTTTAGGAAAATATCATTTCACTGTATGCCACTTTGCTTAGCTCAGTTCAAATAAAGACTTCTGCTACTGCCCCTTCTATGTTGCAGGGTGAAGCTTCCAGCAGGTTGACTTTACTGTGAGCTCTATTGCCCACAGATTAGAAGTTTGTTAAATATCTTCAGAGTTGTGCCGTAGAAAGAAGTACCTTTATATTATCTGTAAGTCCACATTTAGAGGAAGGCCTTTTCACTCAGGGTATCGGATAACAGCAAAAAGTTATGCAAGTTCTTCTGATGCACAGTTGCTTAATTTACTAAATATGGCTGAGTGTTACTATGTACAGTTTTACAGACTGTTCACTATGCAAGATGCATGGCTGAGGGAGTGGGGACTAAATTTCAGCCCATCATCTGCTCCCCAAGGCATGTACCCCGGAGCAGAGCTGTCACCCTAATTCTCAAAAAACCTTCAGCAGTGCTTTAAACTCTGTATCGTTAAGCCTGAGATGGCCCAGAAAGGACTTCTTTTCCTAATTTGCAAAAAGCCATAATATGAGCTAGCTATTGCTATTATGAACCTGATTGATTTCTTCCTAAAATCATGTGAGGAAAGCTACTAGTTGATAGATCAAATATTCAATTTTTATCAATAGTTTAGTCCCTAGAAATATGGTTTTTTTTCTGTGTTATATGAGAAAGTGAGGTCTCTTCTAAGAAGTAAAGTGTTTACAAGTTTCTTATGGTAGCAACAATAAGAAAAATTTTATTAGCGGTAGTCATGGGAACCATGGTTTATATTTTAATTATCTCTAGCTTTGCAAACTATAGACTTCATTTATTTCTAAAAATCTGTATTACTATGAGAACAAAACTTTTTTTTTCTTGGTTATATAGTTGTGTGTGTGTGTGTTTGTGGTTGGGGAGAGTCTGTCCTTTGTTCTCACTCCCATCTTCCATTCTGGTATTACTTGTACTGAAACGAAAATGCCTAAAACACCATGAATCTCTTTAGCAGCTGCTAAAGAGTATGATGTCTTATTCAGTGGACTACAGTGCCTAGAATACCTGACCCATCAAGCTCAAGTACTTGATATTCACTTGTCTCAAAAGAATTGATATTTATGAGCTAGGCTGAAACTACTTTAGATTTTATAAACATTTTATAAACACAAATGTTTCCAATAGCCGTCTCCCATAATTTGCTTGGTCCTAAAGTGGCCCCACTGCCACATGAACATCAATGATGGCAAATAGATGGTTATATTTTGCAAGTTCTTGTTTGCTAGCTGAAGTCCGAAGGAAAAAGGATGTTGCAATTTAATAGCCCTGAATTCACTCCTGCCCCGCTCCTCTGTCCTGGAATAGATGTGCGTGTGCACAGTTACATCATAATTATGGATTGCACTGATATTCCTAAAAAGAGAAGGGTTCTAAATTTTTTAGGCTAGGATCATGGGCAACAAGAACATTTTAAGCTGGACATTTTAGAAATACAGTGGGTTACAACTTGAAAACAGGAATTAATGTGAAGAAATAATGAGTATGGAAATCATTTGCAAACTGTAAAACACGGTGCACATACAGTGTATCATTACTCACAATATATTAATACATAGAATGTATTACTCACAAGCTTAAAGGACATAATTTGCTCATCATTAATATACTGACAATGTATAGAAATTTGGTATTCATGGCAGTTCCGTTAGCCAGAGAAGATTTGAAGAATAGAAAGAACTTGCAATATCAAGGTTGAGATGAGAGTCTTCTAAGGTCACAGTGATAGACTTTAGAAGACCTTAGATAGAACTTAGAATGTGTTAAAGTAGGAATTTCACTGAATTTAAAAATAGTGTGGTTTTTAATCCTCTCATCATTCCTCCTCCCTCAAAAAAAAAAAAAAAAAAAAAAAAAAAGTGAATAGATTGGAGAGTAACAAACCATAATTTTAGAAATCCAGTTTTTTTGAGCAGGAGGAAGTCTTAGAGCCAAATGAAGCCGTATTTTCCAGAATAATTCCTGACAGACTAGCTTCATGTAATGCTATGTAAAAAGTGGGATTCTGTGATCCAGGGTACGTAAAAATGTCACATTGTATTCCCACTACTGGATTACTCACAGGTAAACTAAAGAAGTGGTTAGGGCACCCACAAAGAAGGGCATGAATATTTTTAAAAATTGTTCTTGAATGTAAACTTTTGTATAGGTATCCAAACTATAACATATACATGAAAATTTGTTAGACTTATTTCATAATTTAATTTTTAAAAATCTTGGATGCCAGGCACAGTGGCTCATGCCTGTAACCCCAGCACTTTGGAGGCCAACACGGGCAGATCACTTGAGCCCAGGAGTTCAAGATTAGCCTGGCTAACATGGTGAGAACCCATCTCTACTTAAAATACAAAAATTAGCTGGGCATAGTGGTACATGCCTGCAATCTCAGCTACTTGGGAGGCTGAGGCAGGAGAATTGCTTGAACCTGGGAGATGGAGGTTGCAGTGAGCTGAGATCACGCACTCCAGTCTGGGTGACAGAGTGAGACTCTGGCCCTCTCTCTCTCTGTCGTGCTCTCTCTATATGTGTGTGTGTGTGTGTGTGTGTGTACATATATAAACATAATTTTTGAAAAGTCTCTTAGAATTCCCTGGGAGGAAGGCCTCACACACCCTAATCTTTCTGGAAATAAAACATATGCTGTGTTTATCCCATGCTCTAGGAGGTCATGTCAATTAGTATTTTAGTGACTTTGAAGAAAAATGAAATAAGCAAAGCATTTCACTTAGTTTACAGTGTATCCCAACAGAATTTGACCAGAGACAGCTTCCCTCCCACCCCAAATCCAGGGCACAGTGGCACTCCCTTAGCGCTAGAGACCTAATTATCACCCTTTGGAGAACACTGATATAATCCTCCCACTGCAAAGAAGAGGAAAGCGAGGCTCCAAAGGGCTGAGTGATAACTAGGAAGTGGTAAAGGTGAAATGTGAACCAAGGACTTCTGATTCCACATATCAGAGTTTAACTCTGACTGAAGACACACTTTTCAGATCTGGTTATTTTTAACGTTTCCTACATAGCACAAAGGAAACTAGATAACTTAGGTGGGAATTGGAATTTCCATAGAATTTCCAACATAAACCACAGTTATTTCCTCCTTCTGTGATAAGAACCTGGAATGCTTTTGCATTAGCAGCCTCTTTTTTATTACTATTTTAACAGTAATAGTTTTTGGAGTACAAATGGTTTTGGTTACATGAATGAATTCTATAGTGAGATTTTCTGAGATTTTAGTGCACCTGTCACCTGAGCAGTATACACTGGACCCAATATGTACTCTTTTGTCCCTCAAGTAGCCTCTTTTAACAATGGGGTGCGGAAGGGAGAATCTTCATAAATACTAAAATGTGAAGTACTTTATGTTGAAATGTGGAATTTGTAATACTAAATATTTGCCAACAAATATCCCAAATATAGTCCCTTAATAGGCACATCATTTATATTCCTCAAACTGTTCTTTTCAGTCTTCTGTTGTGAAGTCTGTACTTTACAATGTTTTCAGTGTAGACCTTGTGATGTTAAATGTATGTATAATGGGTTAAGCTACTTTTCAGGAACACTGGCTGCCCTAATCAGAATTTCACACCCCACAGGAGGTCAGCTAGCATTTAATGGGAAAGGCCAGAGGTTTGTACAAGTACTTAAAGCTATTGTATCTCAATTAACATAATAATGGTTAGAAATGGGCTGCCTGATGAAAGGGGAAGCATGTTAATTAGCATAATGACTCCGGAAATGAGCTGCCATTTGTGAAACTTGGGAGTATTCAAGATAATGTGGATTGGGTAAATTATTTTACAGATATTCTCCACTTTATGAGAAAAGGAAGGAAGGATACAATAAAAATGTGGGGAAAACGAGGCAACATGGTACCTGCCTGTAACCATAGCTACTTGGGAGGCTGAGGAGGAAAGATCACTTGAGTCTACGACTTTGAGGTTGCAGTGAGCCATGATTGCACCATTGCCCTTCAGCCTAGGTGACAGAGTGAAACCCCGTCTGTGTTGTTTTTAAAGAAAGAAAAGCTTTAAAAATATTAAAAATGGGGGGAAATTTGTAGCATATAACTAACTTTAGGATGTTGTTTGAGCTTAATCTCAAAATTGGACTGTCACTGAATAATTTTCTGGTGGCTTCTGTAAAGATAACATCACCCTACCTCTAGATAATGGTCAGATTTAACCAGAGTGAATTTTTTATGTAAGATATGGTCAGGTTATTTCTAAAAACAGGGCTGAGACTTCAAGTATGCAGCGCAAACTGTATACATTGTGTTGTGCCTGCTTTCTAATCAATGCTTGTTAAATATTTAGTAAGTGCCTCTGTGGGTGCTCATATACCCCTTAAACTTTTCCCAGTGATGGTTACCCATGAAAAGGAACCCAGTTTTTATTACCCAGATGCTCAGCTCAATTCCCAGTG